GAAGGAGGCCACGAGCAGATAGTCAAGACGCTGCTCGACACGGGCGCCGAGGTCAACGCGCAGGGTGGAGGCTACGGCAACGCACTGCAGGCAGCTTCAGAAGGAGGCCACGAGCAGGTAGTCAAGACGCTGCTTAATGCGGGCGCCAAGGTCAACGCGCAGGGTGGAGGCTACGGTAACGCACTGCAGGCAGCTTCATACAAAGGCCACGAGCAGGTAGTCAAGATGCTGCTCTACAAGGGCGCCGACGTCAACGCGCAGGGTGGAGTCTTCGGCAATGCAGTGCAGGCAGCTTCATACAAAGGCCACGAGCAGGTAGTTAAGACGCTGCTCAATTTAGGTGCGCATTAGTATTAAGAGAATAACCTTGTTTATATATCCTACTAATTGTGTTGGGACGACGGCGGCAGTCAGGGACAGTGTGCAGTAAGCATGTTAACTCAGCCTAGGGAGAAACATGGTGCACAGGAGAACAGAACTATGTAATTGTTTCTAGATGCTTCTAGAAAGGTAGCAGCACGCGCCACACCTAGCTTGAGAGGCATACGCGACTGGCATAGCGCTGTATTGTTTACAGTAAATCACAACAGGCGATAAGAACGCTAATGCTGGCTTATGCTGGCTTATGCATGCTAAGCGATGTTAGCGTATCCCGCTAGCTCGGGCTCGTTTTCACAGATCTCCTGCTTCGCACTACGGGGCTGCTGACATGCTCACTCTCACATTAGAGCGGTCTCACGAGCCTAGGAAGCTGATTATCCTACGTCGCGCTCTTTGCACAGCTTTCTAAGCGCTTCAGTAGTCCTTAAGGTCACTAATAGACAGGGGGGTATCGCTAACGAGTTAATTAACGACGGTAACAAAACGATCGATATCACAGCCAACATAGCAGTAATCTATATCGGACGCTAATGTGCTTAAAGAGTAACAGCCTTACAATTATAGTAGACTAATAGCAGCTTTACAAGCCCGCAAATGGAAGGCGCCGAAGCTCCGAATCATCAACCTGTCTCGCCACCTAGGGTGTCTCGCTACCTAGGGACGCACCTTACGTGTGCTCATTCACTTGGTTCTGTTGATCAGTTCGGTTGGAATCAATGTGGGTGGTAATTAATGCCGTTCGTGGATGGGTTCGCAGGTTGTTCCGACTTCCGATCGCGCCGCTCTTCACACACACACACACACACACACACGCGCGCGCGCGCGCACGCATCGGCGACCTTTACACTCGTCTCGTCACTATCTTACGGGATGGCGGGTCACGTCATCACTTGCGATAACTCCAATTTTTAAACATTACTGGATCTGAGCTAGGAGCATCACAAAGTACTGCAACGGAGCACCATCCCCGTTACGCCTAGTACCTATCAAGGCTTCGATTTATTGGCCTGTGTTAGCCTTTACCCGCCTGGTTCAGTCCTCTCTAGACCAAAGTCCTTCGTACCCTTCACGAACGCACCAGCGAATCCTCCACGAACACGCAGACGCCCGTCAATACCTACGCTGCCCTGGTTTCTTACTACACATGCAATCGTATAGACCCACATCGCTCATCTGAGACCACGTACATCGCACGCTGTTTCGGTTCGACAGGCATATATTCATACAGAGTGATCCACTCGCCCCCTAACAAATCTTCTTCCGGTCCCTCCTCGATTGTTTCCAACCGAGGTGCGTACGCTTTTGGCCTCCTGAAGTGGGGACAGAGTTTCGCGAAGATCCGTTTAGGGGCTGGACATGGTGGTGGGGGTAGGAACAAAGTGACACCGAGTTCGTTGGTCCCCGTTGTCGTGAGTTGGATCCGATGTCGAGACATCAGACGCGCGAGCTCGCGGACTCGTGGATACAAAGTGTTGCCTGCAGCTCTGAACTGCAGATTATCTTCGTCTTCGCAATGCTGAAGAATGATTCTTACTATGTGTTGATTGGGGACAGCAAATCGAATCGAAAGATCGTTATGACGCGTGTAGCCTGGATAGCTGGGGTACATGCTCGTAGTGATCAACCTGCAAGCAAACACTCTCGCTGAGGCATATATGAGCACGCGTCTCTAGACGGAGAGTGTACACGAAACGGGATCTAGAGCCGGGAGCAGGAGCAGGATACTGTGCCACGTCAAACAGCTCGAACGCAGTAGTACGTCGCAAAGGACAGGATTCGTGGATCGCAGACTTCGAAATCCTGTTTTTGGACTATGGAGAATTAAACAGTAGTATAAAATTCGCTGGCGGGTGCCACCTTTCTAGCAGCACTATCATTATTTACACCTATACTGAACAAAACCTCGCTTCAACCCTTTCCTCTGCACCATCTAATATGCTGATCTACGCGTGGTTCTTTCTGAGCTTGTGCTCTGCTCAAATTATCCCTTTCGATCAAATACTGCCGATTCTTACGAATCCGGTCGTCCAAGTCAAAGCTGGCGAAGAGCTCCACTACCAGTAGGTCCCTGCTTGCAATCTTCTCGTAAGCTTCTCACCAAGAGACAGGCTAAGCAATTTCCGCAACTCAAGCTGCGAAGCCACACTGAGCTTCCAGAACGAGACGTTCCTACCACTGTCTGCATCTGCGAACCCAGTGAATTGTTCAGGCGACCAGATAGCAAAACTTCGAATACCAGAAAGTGCACCCAACGGCCCCGCTGCACTCGAATGGTACGTCAAGTTAGCAGCTCCATAAGCTAGGGCTCACCTTTACAGGCAATGCTCTGGTGCAAACGGCGTAGCTGTAGATCTTGTGGTTATTTATGGAGGGTTAGGAAATTTAGAACGTCTCATAGAGGATAGGGAGGCTGTACACATAGCGGTACAGTGTCGCGTAAATACTTTGGACCAGTCGCGTACCAATGTCACCTGTAGATAAACCCAAATCTCACACTCATGCACTGCCATGTTCTTAAGCGCTGTATGTATGTGCCATGAAAACATGTGGCGTGGGCCTGTTGTAACCACCCCACAGCGGCGTAGCAGCCTGATGATAGAAACGCTTCTGTCTTCCGAGTTAAGTCAAGCACGACTGAACCACAAAAAATTCCTCAACCTGCAGGGCCTGAGCGGGCTGTCCTGCACTCTTCTGGAAATTTCCACTTCTACTTTGCGACTTTTAACTCAATGGAAGATGAGATTCGAGCCCAAGCAGCTACTCGCTATTATCGGTGGGAATGGCAGCGTTTCCTGGTTTGTTGCTCACACTTCGCGTTCTGGAACCGACTGACCATTGGAGTTGTTCACCCGGCAACAAACTGTCCACGTGTCGCAAGATTGGCAGCAAACCTCGACAGAGGTGCGACGTCAAATTATGGATCGAGTCAATGCGGCGCTGAAGTACGAGAAGATTTCTGAGGCACCGGAGGAAGTTATTGCTTGGCGTATGGAAACACTCTTAAGCCGCCGATGCAGAGTGAGTATATAAATCTGGGGTTCGAATGACGCACATGTTAAGCGGGCGAAGGATAAAGAAGAAGAATAGATTACCATAACGACGAAGGCACGATAGCACACACGCATAGATGTGATTGCATGATACCATCGACTTTATCTTTAAGCTGTACGAATGTGATCGCATTGCCAGTATCCTCATTTATCCATTGGGTCCTCCAATTGTGTACCTGCCGTCCCTTGTACATGGTAATATAGGTTCAGGCAAGGCCATGACGAGTGGGAAGGAGCTGCAGTAGATAGTATGTTGTTTATAAGCTGCGTGGGCTTGAGCGGGCTGAGCGGGCTGAACAACGAACGCTAACAGCAACCAGGCGCCCTCCATCGCCTCGACTGCCAGCATGCCGCAGCTCAGCCTCACGACAGCCCTTGCGCACGATGCTGCTACACATTCGCCGTTCTACACCACACACCTTTTGGCCCTGATCTGAGTCAACGCGATGCGACGGCTCCTTGACTTCCGCTCGAAGAAGAGCAACGCAAAGGCACGTCTCACAGGCACTCCTCTCTTTCGCACGCACTAACATACCGGCAGGCTCCTGCAGAATTCTCTGCATCCTCAGCGTCAGCAAAGGCAGCTGCTGCAGATGCGCATGGCCTGCAAGTGGTAGCTGAAGGCACCAACCCGACCGTCGACTATGCTTCTCATTGCTTGGTGACGCGTTCACAGCTGAGCCGATTGCAGTATCGTCGCTGTCCATGGCCTGAACGGACACCGCGAGAAGACGTGGACAACGAGCGGCGGCGTCAACTGGCTGCGCGAACTCCTTCCACACGACCTCCCCAACGCGCGCATCCTCAACTGGGGCTACGATGCGAACACACAGCAGCTCGCACGTGAGCTCTCAGTACCTCTATGACCCCGGCAGAGGCCTAGTGTCAGACCTGTGCCTTCATAGAGAGTTGACAGAGGTACGCAATGAGCGAGGCGCAACGGGCGATAGCAAGAACTGACGCCAGAGCAGACGAGTAAGCGGCCGATTATGTTCGTAGCGCATAGCTTAGGCGGGATTGTTGTTAAAAGCGTGAGTGCGCTTTCCCCAGCTTCGGCAGCACACTTGACTAACAGCCACAGGCGCTCATCCACTCAGACACGGCCCGCCAAGTCGCTCTCGCAGAGCATCGCTCGATCAAGCTGTCGACGTACGGGGTCATGTTCATGAGCACGCCGCACCAAGGCGGCAACGGCGTCGCGCTGGGCAGGCTGATGGTCAACGTAGCGTCAGTGTTCGTAGTGGCAGACGATCGGCTGCTGCGACATCTAGAGCGAGACTCGGAGTCGCTACAACAACAGCTTAGACAGTATGCTCCCATCAGTAGAGACTTTGTGACCAAGTTTGCGCTTGAGGAGTATGCGACGCCAACAGTACTCGGCTGGTCGATGGTGGTAAGTCGGTATAAGATAGTCGGCGCGCGGCAGCTGCTAACACCTGCCAGATTATAAGCACTGGAAAAGGATGCGTTGAATAGCATGAGTCTTCAAGAGCTGGAACGTATTCATGCTGAGGATCACGCACTCCGGGTCAGGTCGTTTCCTGATAGGAAAGGCTCGTATGAGGAATCAGGCTGTGCATGGAAAATAAAACAAGATCGATTGCGGTAATGACAGGTTTTATCTGGGAACTGTAAAGACTGTGTACTAAGATGAAAAGAGAATGCCATCCACGGAGATATTGTACAAAAATATGCTTCGCATGCTCGTCCATCCTTCACGTGTGCCCATATAACCAGGTCACGGGCACTACGAAAGCTTCCCGGTACCATCCTGGTGCACATGGCCAGTGGTGATCCTCCTGTCATTCTCGTCTTTGAAACGAATGGAGATGACCGGCTTCTTATCGTTTGGATCGTCATGGGACTGGTGCCACTTGCTTCCCTTGATCTCTGCCTTCTTGATGGCTGGATTCTAAATCATGTAAGCAAGTTTGTGGCTAGACGAGCGTTGCGTATCGACATACACTTTTCTCAGCTTGTTCGCAGAATGCATTGACAACTGGGCGGCTCTGGGAGTCGAGTTTATCAAGGGTGACAGTGCCGACGTATTTGATGAGTCTGCGGGATGAGGCCTGCATGTTGGAAGTTGCGATGGTGGACTAGTAACGTTTGGAGGGATAGTGAAGGATGTTGTGATGTGCTTGATAATGAATGTTGATTGATGAGAATGATGAGGCATGATTGATGGAAGGCAGCCTCTGCTCTTATACTCCCAGTTCTTGGACTTCGCAACACTGAGCTCTTAATGCTGCGCTCCAACAGTTTGAAGCTCAACTCCAAGTGGAGTCCAATACTTGCTAAAATAGCAAGAGCGTCACGCTATCCTCCATCATTTGCTAATGCAACTTCAGTCACATCCCGAATGTGGCTATGAAGAAGTGACACCAAGTCTGAATGAGACATTGTGGGGTGAGAGGTTGACGCGCGTGTGCTGAGTCCGACTATTAGAGAGGTTCAAGGATAGTCGGCGCGTAACGAGCGGAGTCCGCGTGATGGTGAGACGGGACCCTGTTTTGCTAGCATCGTTGTTGCCGCCGACCAATTGATCGACGCGCACAGACGCGTCATTGACCGTGCTAGGCATCTGCGGCCAACATGCCTTTGGACCGTCACACTAACTTCCCACAATGATATAGTGTCTCTACACCATGCTGAGATTTGGTCAACGCGCATGTACTCGCTTCAAATTTCCCTCTCACACCTCCCTAATTTCGCGCTTTCAGAGTACAAAAATGAATGCTAGCGAGCTCTTCGAGGAGGAGCGTCTTCCGTGGTATAGCCATGATCAGTTTTATCCAGCACGACCTGGTGAGATTCTCGATTCTAGCTTTAAGATTATAGGAAAACTCGGTTACGGTGCATACTCCACGGTCTGGCTGTGTCGGGATATCCGGTATGTTCGGCGTGCTTTACCCCCACCCTTCAAAGTCTGATCATCCATGCACAGAGAACGAGACGCTGGCTTCGTCGCTGGCTTCGTCGCTGTCAAGATTTGTACCCGAGATGCCGAAAAGACCCCACAGCTCAATCGAGAGCTAGATTTTTACGAGCATGTCAGTTCTATGCAATCACAGCATCGCGGCCAAGCATACATCCGCGGACTGTATGGCGAATTTGAGCTCGACGGTCCGACTGGCAAACATTTGTGCTTTGTTCATCCACCCATGCACATGACTATTCGACAGCTCCAGTATTATAACCCAGCACACAGACTCGACGTTCCGCTTCTGAAGTGCACGCTAGCCAATCTGCTAAAGACGCTGTCGTTCTTACACGACGAGGCTAAGGTCGTACATACAGGTACGGCAAGATGATGCAACATGATGGAATCAACTGACAAGTTAGACATCAATCCTGGAAATATCATGCTGACTGTGGATGATGACACTATCCTGGAAAACTTCGAGAAAGCTGAAGCAGAGAACCCGTCACCGTTCAAAGTGATTGACGACACACGCACCATTTACAGTTCCCGTGAGCTTCCCCATCCTACGGGTGGTCTTTGGGGCCAACCAGTCCTCTGTGACTTTGGAGAAGCGCGGATAGGAGATTCCCACTCCGGCTTAATCCAGCCTGAGCTATACCGTGCACCAGAGATAATTTTCGAGATGGAGTGGGGCTCTAAGGTGGACATTTGGAGTGTCGCCACGTTGGTAAATATCGGATACTATTATAAGGAAGTCTCAATGACTTACTGTTCATTAGGTGTGGGACTTGTTTGAAGATGAGCATCTATTCGACGCCCATGATAACGAGGGCAACCCATCAGAGACACATCATGTTTCCGAAATGGTTGCATACCTTGGAATGCCTCCGCTTGAATACACGCAAAGCAATCATATGACAAAGAAGGTCTTCGACAAGCAAGGTTAGTCATAGAGATCGTCCCGACATAGACTCTGCTAAGTTCAATAGGACACTGGACTGGTGGCTCCAAGGGTGTGACTATCCCTAAGATCTCACTCGAGGAACGAGTCTCGGTGCTTAAAGGGGAGGAAAAGGAATTGTTTCTCGATTTCATACGCTCGATGCTCAGATGGCGGCCGGAAGACAGGAAATCGGCGACTGAACTCCTGAAGCACCCATGGATGGCCGACACTATGTAGTTACGACGACGATCAAGCAACCATTACACTATTAAGTCATTCTCGCGGAGTCTTTGTATTAGTTACATGTTTAGGATTGATTCACAAAAACATATGCTTCTTCACTTCACTCCCGGGCATTTTATATCATCATCGCCGACCTAGCAGTTAATCTGGCCGACTTTAGCATTCGCACATGATATTGACGGCTTGGACCTCATTCGTTTTGCTCTCGACTGTCGGCCAATTCAATCTGCGCAAAAACTCCTTTTGTCGTTAAGTAGTACGTGTCCGGAGCTTAGATATCGTCGTCATGAATATCGGCGTATAGACTTTGTCCAGAAATGAGCTCGAGCAATCTGAAAGTATTGAATTGCAGAGAGCTGTATTCGAAGCCACGTCGGCGCCGTTTCTGACTTGGCGACATGTTTATGCAAGGAAATTATCCATGAATATATCTGAACCCGGACTGGAAGGGCCGCTGGTGAGGGTCGCGGTGGTACCTGCTGAACTTCTATTAGAACACGTTGCACACTTCATGGTGCGGGGCCTATAAAGAGTTAATGTAGTAAGCGTACGCTGAAGTGGCTGTGCGCTGAGAACAACCGAAGTGCAGGAACCGGAAACCGAGACCGGCCACCACTGTACAGGACCCAAGCTTGAGCATGACATACCTAGTCGTTGACGCGCTTGACGAGTGTGTTACTGATCTGCCGTAGCTGTTCGACTTTATCGCAAAGCGGTCGTCTGCATCCTCCCGTACAGTCCGTGCACAGCCAACGAGCCAGTTCAGTCAACGAGCCACCCCAACCCCCGCTGCCTCATGAACCCGCCCACCTTCAACGCGTCATAACTCCACAACCATGGACCCAATTCGAGAAGCGGTTGAATATATCGAATCGTGTGAGGCTGGAGATAAATCCTCGTACCGCCCAGCTGCAAAAATATTCGGAGTTGATCGAACGACGCTGTCGCGGAGGCACCGGGGCGCACAGCAACCCCGGGACACAGAGGCGGCCGAACATCGACGAAATCTCAACCTACAACAAGAGGATAAGCTTATCAGGAACATAGAAGGGAACACAAGAGAAAGATTACCATCTACAAGAAGTATTCTAAGAAATTTCGGTAGTGCGGTTGCGCAGCATAAGGTTTCGGATAGCTAGGTTACCCAGTTTCAACACCGTCATCCCGATAAACTCATCTCCAAATAGGCCACTAGTATAGATCGTAAGCGTCTCTTAGCTGACAAAAAGTGTAAATACAAGTTGTACTTTAACTTGCTGGACTCTAAGATGCAAGAACATAAGGTTGAAGAGCGCAACACGTACAATATGGATGAGAAGGGCTTCTTTGTCGGCATCGCCTACCGCAGGAAGAGGATCTTCTCCAAGGCAGTTTATGAGTCGGGGGAGCTTTTGTGCTACACGTAGCCTAGCGAAAGAGAGATGTGTAAAGGGAAATTCTACGCTAAGTACAGCTCGACAAGCTCGTGGGCATAGGAGATAGAAGCCTAGGTAGCAAACGCATCTCGGTGGGCCGGGTTTCTCGGTCATACGGGATGGACGTTAGTGTGTCTCTCTACCTAGGGACTCGCCTTACCGTTGGCAACATCAGTGTGATGCGCCATCTGTTGTAAAGTGCACCGTATGAGTGCTCTCACGGGTGGAAGAGCGAACAGTAGAGTGATGTAATGTCAATCCACGCGTGCCGGGACGCACGGTGTAACGGGACACATCCCCTTCCGGGCCTTTGGGTTGCTCGCAGCGTACTTGTATGCAAACAAACGTTATGCGCATCTATTTTGCAGCTCTCGTTCTCCTAACACATAAGTCTCCGACGCCGAACAGCGCGTGGTGAACTGTGCTGTCGCTCGTTCTGTTGATGCTGTCCCCGACTCTCCGCTAATACCCCCTTGTCTGTTCGCGATAGTACAGCTCTGTAGAGAGCTCGGTGGGCTAGAAAAGAAGCTGAGATGGCAAAGATTAAGACTGCAGCCTCGAAAGGTCGATTTAAGGTAAGAAGGACACATCCCGGCAGTTTCTCCGCGCAGACGGCAAGATCGTTGGAACGCGTTGAACAGACCGTGCGTATTTAGCAGCTCTTGGTATGCAGTAGCGCGTATCAGCGTGCTGAGATATCTACGCGCCTGCCCCGCGCGCTGTGGCTGAGAAATGCAGCTTTGAGCACTCTGCGCTAGGCAGCTCTTATTCCCGACTTTGCAGGCAGCTGTTGGTCCAGTCGCGTAACAAGAAAGTATCTTTACGTCTACACGACCTACTAATTATACATCCCTATGTACCCTTCCTCGATAACATAAGTGTTATCAGACATTACGATAGCAGTCTAAGAAGACCTATTCTTCTACTAGCACCTGCCTATGTGCGCGGTAGCCCAGCGCAAGTTGTGAAGCGGCGCAGCGCAGGATGCTCGATGTGCCTGGCATCCGCTCAGCCTCGTCGCATGCACTGCCTCTACAGGCAGCCTTCACACCCACCCAGCGTAAGCTTCCTCTGTCTGCCTCGCTCTGTCGCGACGATGCCTTTCCACTCTCTACACCACCGAAGTCATTCGCGCCTCGCGTTCCCTAGGCTAAGCCAAAACTGCAAACGCTATGCGGCTTCTACATTTTGACGTGTTGGGAACGCCCGTCTTGACAGATTTCCGTGGCAAGACGATCCCGCCCTACGCCATTCTGTCGCACAGATGGAGCGACTCCGAGGTCCTCATCGAAGACATAACGAACAGGACCTACAAGGAGAAGGACGAAGGCTATCGAAAGCTTGAGTTCTGTGCCAATCAAGCGGCGCAGGACGAGCTGCAGTACTTCTGGATCGACACATGCTGCATTGACAGGTGGAATAACAACGAGCGCTCGAAGGCGATTAACTCGATGTTCCAGTGGTACAAGGGTGCAGCACGATGCTACGTCTTCTTGTCGGACGTGTTAGTGTCGACTAAGACAGCGCTGGCTCAACGGAACGACTGGGAGGCGTCGTTCCGTGCAAGCGCATGGTTCACTCGGGGATGGACGCTCCAAGAGCTGATTGCGCCAGTGTCAGTCGAGTTCTTCTCGCGTGAAGGACATCCCATAGGCGACAAAGCGTCACTCGACCAGCTTATCCACGAGATCACCAACATCCCGCTCGCGGCATTGCGCAACCGACCTTTACACGAGTTCAGTACATCCGAGCGAAAGAGATGGGCCGAAAGTCGCATAACAACAGAAGAAGAAGACATTGTATACTGCCTGCTTGGGATTCTCGGCGTCTCTATGCCCACCACGTATGGCGAAGGAGAGGAGAGTGCACGAAGCAGACTGCAGGCTGAAGTAGAGGCAGCTAGTAACGCACCGTCGATCATTCCCTTCTCACGAAACCCCCGCTTCGTAGGCCGAGAGTCGCAGCTCGCCGAGCTAGAAGCAAAGCTCTTCAGCAACGAACAAATCACTACCACGCTAGCGATCGTTGGACCTGGCGGAACAGGCAAGACGCAGCTCGCGCTCGAGGTTGCACACAGAACAAGGCAGAAGAACAACAGCTGCTCGGTCTTCTGGATGGACGCAAGCGACAAAGACAGCCTCTACCAGTCGTATGCAAGTGTTGCGCAGAAGCTTAGCGTTCTAGGCTGGGACGACGACCAGGCCGACATGAAGCAGCTTGCGAAGCGCTGTGTAGTAGAGATTAGTGCGCGACGATGCTTGCTGATCTTCGACAACGCAGAGCACACCACTCTGCGATCTGGCGGCTCGTCCACGACAGAAGCCGCAGTCTTAGCCGACTGTCTGCCGCAGTCTAAGCTATGTTCTGCCATCTTCACAACAACGAACACCAACACAGCTCAGGCGCTTGCTCCACAGAACATCATAGCGCTGCGAGAGCTGACACTAGACACGGCGCTGAGGATGCTGCAAGTCCGCTTAGCGAGGCCACTCGCGAACACTGAGCAGCAGGAAGCCGAGCACTTGCTAAAAGAGCTATCGTATCTCCCGCTAGCAGTCATGCAAGCAGCGGCCTGTATGAAGGCTAATAGTATGACGGTACAGGAGTATCGAGCACGGCTAGATGAGCACAAAGAGCTAGTTATCGACCACGGCGGTGACTCGTCTGGGGGTAGACTGCAAGATTCTGGCGTAAAAGACCCTGTGGCTGCTGCATTGTTTCTCTCTATAAAGGAGATCAGTCGTGACAATGCGCTCGCCACAGACTACCTGTTTCTTGCTGCATGCTTAGACCGGAAAGACATCTCGCTTAATCTTCTAGAGGCAGCTTCGGCGCAAGCAAGGGAAGATGCTATTAGGGTACTTGACAAGTATGCACTCGCCACTAGGCGGCCTGCTGAGTCTGCCCTCGATGTTCATCGACTAGTCCATCAAGCTCTACGCAAGCGGCTGCAAGTGCAGGGACGGCTCCAAAAATGGACTCAACACGCGATCACACAGCTACTCCAAGTGTTTCCAGACAGCGAACATAGCAACAGAAGCAAGTGGAGACGACTGCTTCCACATGCCCAGTATGCTCTGTCACATAGTCCGGCGGATGATGATGACGAAGAAAGAATGCGTCTTGCATCAAAATGTGCTACGACTCTGTTTAGAGATGGACGTTATGATGAGGCGGAAGAGCTGTTTGTGCAAGTGATGCAGACGATGAAGAGATTGCTCACCACCGAGCATCCTGCGACGCTGACTAGCATGGCCAACCTAGCGGAGACGTACAGAAACCAAGGACGGTGGAAGGAGGCTGAAGAGCTGCAGGTGCAAGTGATGCAGACGATGAAGAGAGTGCTCGCCACCGAGCATCCTTCCACGCTGAGCACCATGACTAACCTAGCGGAGACGTACAGGAACCAAGGGCGGTGGAAGGAGGCTGAAGAGCTGCAGGTGCAAGTGATGCAGATAAGCAAGAGAGTGCTTACCGGCAAGCATCCTCGCACGCTGACCAGCATGAATAATCTAGCGGCGACATACAGCAACCAAGGGCGGTGGAAGGAGGCCGAAGAGCTGCAGGTGCAAGTGATGCAGACGAGCAAGAGAGTGCTTACCGACGAGCATCCTGACATGCTGAGCAACATGAACAACCTATCGGAGACATACAGGAACCAAGGGCGGTGGAAGGAGGCCGAAGAGCTGCAGTTGCAAGTGATGCAGACGATGGAGAGAGTGCTTACCGACGAGCATCCTTCCACGCTGACTAGCATGGCTAACCTGGCGGTGACGTACGGGAGCCAAGGGCGGTGGAAGGAGGCCGAAGAGTTGCAGGTGCAAGTGATGCAGACGAGCAAGAGAGTGCTTACCTACGAGCATCCTGACACACTGGCCAGCATGGGTAATCTAGCGGCGACGTATATGAGCCAAGGGCGATGGAAGAGGGCCGAAGAGCTGCAGGTGCAAGTGATGCAGATGATGGAGAGAGTGCTTACTGAAGAGCATCCTGCCACGCTGACTAGCATGGCCAACCTAGCGGAGACGTACAGAAACCAAGGACGGTGGAAGGAGGCTGAAGAGCTGCAGGTGCAAGTGATGCAGACGAGCAAGAGAGTGCTTACCTACGAGCATCCTGACACGCTGCTTAGTATGCACAATCTCGCGTTCACGCTGCAATCACAAGCTCGTTATGAGGAGGCTCTTGCACTAATGAAAAGATGCTTTCAGCTACATGAGCAGGCTCTTAGGGAATAACACCCTGATACAAAGTCTTCGCTCAACACGCTAAGTGACTGGCGAGCGAAGTGTGAGTTAATTTATAGTGAGGTAACTTTACAGTATAATATCGCCGCTATCTGTGGATAGTAAAGTTAGATGCCGCAGGCCACATAATTAATCATGACTTTCAACGGCGTGCTATAATGAAGGCAGTGGTGGCTTCCACTAACTATAACAACTTCGATCCGCTCACCACGGCGGATCCATGCGAAACAATAATGGACCTAATTATGTAAGAAGCGAGCCTGGAGAGTGGCTAATGTCTTAGCCACAGCGCAAAGTGGGCGCACAGATATTTCAGCGCGCTACTGCAAGCTGCTGCATGCCAAGTACTGTCAACAGCGCACGACCTGTAGGACAAGTTTTTACGATCTTGCCGTCTGCGCGGAGAAACTGCCGGGATGTGCCTACAGTAGATAATCTCGGAACAGAGATCTCGACCCTAAAGCTTTCCCTATACTTCATGTCGCCGCTAACAGATTCCTGCTTGGCTAGCAATACCACAATTCGCCGCCGGCATGCACGGCAGCCCGCCTCGGACAGCCTCGGATGCACTGGATGTTGAGTGCACATATCTAAGAGTCTGTCACGTTACAAAGAGATGTACAAAGAGTGTATCCCGAGCAAAGTACTACTGCAGCTTAGGTGGTGGCGCTGTAGTGCAGGTTTATAGAGCAGATCGACGATAAAGCGTGCAGCCCGCAGATCGTGCAGAAGAGCCGTAAGTAGCTTAGCGGTATGATATCAACAATGTGTCAGATTCTTGCACTGCCACCGTAGATTAGGTGGGGTGCGGCTAGCGGCTAGTTCTAAGCATGACTCGCTCGGGCTTGATTGATTTCGATCCGCGTTTTACAGTAACTTGCGATCGCAGTGTCGGGTATTTCCTGCACACACGCTTTCTCTGCTCCGCCTTGACAAGGGTCTTGCAGGGATCCCTGCACATGCACTTTATCGCACCTTATTCAGCTTGTGTCAATCTGCACCCATACCCCGTTAGCACCGCGCTTAGCGCTTAGATATTGCTGAGATCCTACATATCGCCACGTTCTACAGCCACCCTGCACGGCCCGGCTGTCTAGGCTTCAGAATTAGTTCATCATTGGTTGCCCCCATACCCCAGCAAGTACGCAAGCAGACAATTTGCATAAACACTGGAAGATCCCGTCGAAAAAGCTGGACTATTGCTGCCAACTTTATTTCAACACCACGGAAGCGCATCTGCAGTCCACGATCTTATCGCTCACACAAGAAGCTCCATCCAGCATGATAGAACACACATGGAGACAGACAAGTGGCGCAGCATCTTCGAGTGGCTTAAACTGGTCCCAGAAGCGGACTCTTTGCTTTCTTTCGAAAGCGTACGGGGTCTAGCCAGTCCCCGCGGACAGTCTCCGCATTTTCCTCCCAGTTCCTCGCTCAATCCTACACGCCACCATCCTCACTGCACAGCGCAAATCATGGCGTACAACATTTACAATGACGAGCTCACCTACGATGTGACACAAGCGTTTGGAGAATTTGTGCATAGCGAAGAAACTCCTGCCTCTTCAGTCTCTAGCCAGCCGCTCCAAGCCGTTTCCACCGAAAGTCCTGCCCACCATTCACCACCATGGCCCCAAAAACTCCAGTTTCTTAGCCTAGACGAATGGGATGAACGGAACAGCTATAACGAGGACGAGCCGAGCTGTCTGCATTACTCGATAGAATGGAAGGTGCTGGTGAACAACAGAAAGATCTCAGATGATACGGAGGAGGATTTGGTGCTGGCACCCACCGCATACTGGCATGAGATCCTCAAGCCCAAGCTGGATAGGGTTCTGCAGAGGAAGGTAGCCCAGAACAGGAGCATCAGATGTGACGATACTAGCATCATTGCGGCAGTAGTTCCGCGGACTCAACTCAAACTTACCAAAAGGTTTGATGCTATTGATATTGACTGGTCGGTGATTGAGAAGAGACTCGTTGAATGGGGAGAATCACTCCGCCATGGTAAGAAGCTGCGGATAAGCATATCTTTTAGCTACGTGGATTCTCGTCCACCGTCCAGCATGACGAAGCAGGGAACAAAGCGAGGCTCATCTGCTACGCAGCGAATGCTCTCTGACCGTGCAGCACAGCTGGATGCAGAAGAAGACAGTGACGGCCATCCATCTGTCTGGCGAGAGGTCTACGCTTTGATGAAGTGCCCCGGCCCTCCCTGTGATCTTGGCCCTCATTGCTGGATCAGCTCAATCGGCAAGAAGCACTACAGACTGCGGACGCATCAGCTCAGGGCGCTCATCGATTTTGTAGAGCAGGGTAACCCATTACAGAGCCACGACGACGTCCCTGTTAAGATCCAGGAGCAGCTTGTAGCAGAAGAACAGCAACGGCTCGCACGGCAAACAAATGCTCCGGCTAACGCCCCCACGCCACTTCCACCCATCAACATCACAAACGTGCTGCCTTCTTCCCACCAGCCGTCCATTGCTGGCTCAATGGACTCTACCGACCATCCAGTTCCTTACTTCTCAAACATCACCCCGCTTGATATTCCAGGTTCTCGTGACGCAGCAGTTAAGAGGTACTGTCTATGGCAGCAGTCGAATTTGGATGATGAGGAGTGGAAGGAGGATATCCAAACAGCCTGTGGGGTAGCAATACGAGATAGGCTTGACCTTGAAATGATCCATGCAGCTCAAGAGCCCGGCATCTTCGGAAAGAGCGTGAGGCGAGGCGTAGCATGGCGTTTCATACACGACATTCCAGTGTGGGTTAAGAGGGTGAAGCAATCTCACAGTGTAGAGCTTGATTAGGGCTGATAGATAGCATGATTTGATTCTTTCAGCACTTTGTTTCTGATATTTCCAATGCATGTTACTTGAGCTCTTCCACATCTACTCCCGCGTGCCTGAAATGTCCTTCTGCACTAGGCTTTCTGCCGCCAACAACGCCAATGCACCATTCAAGAAACACTGTGAAGTCTTGATCCGGATTGTGTTCGTACTCGTGCCACTGCTTCTTGATAAAGGCCTTCAGCTCGGCAAAGAATTCTTCGATGGGATTGAGATCAGGCGAGTAGGGCGGTAAGTAGAGCAATATGACACCAGCGTCACGACACATCTGTTTGATCCGCTCGCTGTGATGGAACGACGCATTGTCCATGACAAGGACCGAGTTCGGCTCTGGATATGGTCTGCAATGGTGGAGAAGAGACCGGCAGAGTTTATCAAGGTGTCCGCTGTTATGGTGGTTTCTTCGCCATCTTCCCCCCTGGTCGTGACTTCCCAGCCACTATGTCCAGAGTCGAGAGGTGTGATGTGTGTGACTGGGGATTTGAAGGCGCAGATTCCGCCATGGTCCTCAAAGTCACCCTGCGAGTGGACGTTCGCGCCCTTATCCAGCAGTAGCCTCACTACCACCTCGTAGCCTCCAGCTGAAGCCGCTTGGAGTGCGTTGCCAAAGAGTCCACCCTGCGAGTGGACGTTCGCGCCCTTATCCAGCAGTAGCCTCACTACCACCCCGTAGCCTCTAAATGAAGCCGCCTGAAGTGCGTTGCCGAAGTCTCCACCCTGCGTGTGGACATCCGCGCCCTTATCCAGCAGTAGCCTCACTACCACCTCGTAGCCTCCAGCTGAAGCCGCCTGAAGTGCGTTGCCGTAGACTCCACCCTGCGCGTGGACGTCCGCGCCCTTTTCCAGCAGTAGCCTCACCACCACCTCGTAGCCTCCAGCTGAAGCCGCTTGGAGTGCGTTGCCGTAACCTCCTCCCTGCGCGTTGACGTCAGCGCCCTTGTCGAGTAGCAGCCTAGCCATCTCATAGTGTCCATGTTTCACTGCGTACATCAATGAGCCTTCACCATTACTATCTGTCGCATGCACTGCGCATGTTTCGTCTTCTTTTCTGCGCAGAAAATCCTCCGCCACACTACATAATCCAAATCGTGCTATCCAATGTAAACCTGTCACAGCAGGACTACTCCTACTGTACCCTTCGTACTTGTAATCAGGTACGAATAGTACCTGTGCTGCACACGAAAATTTGCCACTCTGAGTAACTAATGCGCAAGCTAAGTAAGCAACCTTAGCATCGACAGATCTTGCATGTTCACCACCATGTTTCGCTGCGTAATCCAGGAGTTCGTGCTGACTCAGCCTCTCTTCAAAATCTGCGTCAGTGGCACAGCTGCCGCTTTCGAAGATGCTGAACGATAGGTAGGTCAGACACGTCTCGGCTATTTCCAGCTGTCGATCTGGGTTCAGCTTAGAGCTGACACGCTCAAAGTATTCTTGCGTGGTGTAGTGCACAAGACGGATGATAGCACTCTCCTGATCGACAACAACAAGCCCAGCGCATACAGAGACTATGTCGTCCACGTCGGGCTTGTTTTCTGGATCGAGTTCAGCCTCGCCAGGCTCGACTGCTAGGGCGCAGCATAGCTCAGCAGTAGTGAGCGGTCGCTTCGCAAATGTAATCCATGTTAGGACGCTCTTGGCTAGTTTAGAATGGCTAGTTCGTTGGCCTTCGATCCTCTCTAGTGCTTCACTGTACGCATCGTCGAGCGCAGCTGCACCTTTTGAGAGTGTAGTAAGAGTTGATTTGACTTCTTTTGCTGTCGTGTTGTCCGATAGGGAATCGATGTGTAGACGAGCAAGAAGAAACCTCGAGTACGTAAGTGTGTATCGCTACAAAGACGAGAAGCGACTTACATGCCGCCGACAGCCTCGACTACTCTTTCCTGCACTAATTTCTGCAGGGTTGCACTTCGCTGGACACATCCAGGCAGCCGGTGTATCTGGCCAACTACGAACTGCTTGACGTCCTCATCACTAGCCTCTACTTCTAGCCTCGATGCCAGCCGAAAAGCGTCCTCGACATCTGGCACAAAACGCGAGGTAACCATTAATCGCATGTCTACTCCCTTTTGTAGGTCGAGGAGCATGGTGCATAGCTGCCGGCGTGTTTCGTTCTGACACTCGTCTAGCGCATCGACGACTATATGAACGTACGGATACTGTGTGAGCACGTCTCGAAGAGCGCTGTATATATCATCGAGTGATGGCTTCGTTCCACGGCCGGCGTGTTTCTGATGCAATCTTTCCACAGGACCCAGTGCTGACGGTCGGCTCTGAACTAGCTGCTTGAGGATGGCTGCTACTATGCTAACGATGTCCTGATCTGCTTGAGATTTGTAGTTGCAATAAACGTACGCAACTCCGTATGCGCCGTTTTGTGCCGAGTCTAGAAGCTGATCGACTGCAATAGCCGCTACCATGGTCTTGCCAGCACCCGGGATTCCTGGGCAGAAGAGGGTGGTCTTGGCGTCGCCAAGCCATCGTGCCACTTCAGGTGCGTCTAGGAACCACTGGCCTGTCCCTTCCTGCCTGCGCTTTATGATGTCCGACTGCTGAGCGGGATAGTCGCTCGACGATATCCATTCTAGAAGAATGCGCTGGGTTGCGGTGACTTGTACCTGCTGCACTTTGTTGACAGCAGACTCGATAGCCGATACGTGCGTGCGAATGGAGCCAGTGTCGTCTTTAATAGCTTGTGAGAGTTTGCTTGCACGTCTAAGCTTAGTCGTTAGATAGTGCTAGTACAGAAACTTACAGGTGATCCATCTGTAACGCGATCTCCACTAGCGTCTTCAGTCGTTCCATGCGAGCTAAGATGGCGTCGACCTCTTCTTTCTTCAACTTCCATACCAACGCCTCCTTCACTTTCTCCAGCCGACTTTCGCCTGTCATCTTTGCCTGCAGAGTTTCCAGCGCTTGCTTGAACTGGTCGAGCGGTCCGTTCTCGACGGCAAGGGCTTGCACCGCGCTGAACCACGACTGACGGCCATGTCCCTCTTCCAGTCGAAATCTCAGGTTCGTCAGGAGGTTGTGTAGATTGCTAGCTTCGATCGCGCACTGCGCACGGCCTTTAGAGGTGTCCTTGACGTCGTTCAGGTAGGAGAGGACTTTGGCTGAGAGCTGGAGGATAGCGATGACGCTGGCTGTGGCACTCAGCGGATCCATGTCGGGAGGGATCGAGTGTCGACTGCAGACATGTGGGAAACACGTTTTGCGAATAAGGTGACATCGTTGACGTTCAACCAGGCTGAAGAGTGCGCGGCTTGAGTGAGGCTGAGCGAGGACCTGCTGTGCGAATCGCATGACGGCACATCTTATCGATAAGGCCACAGTAAGGATTGGTGGAGTTCAGCTGCGACTACAGAACAGTGGGAAAGATGGGGACAGCGACAGGCTTCTTTCGCAACGTGCTACAGAGCAATTATCATAGGTCAAGGCCGTAGTGTTCTCGCCAGACGGGCACCAGCACGCTGAAAAGCCGGTCCGCCTTTGTCAGCGCAGTGGCAAGCATGAAGGTCAAACGAGCGCCAAAGCAGAATTGCTTTCTCATTATAGGTCTACGTTCATGTCTGGAACATGCTGACTGTCGTCGGTATATCCCACTGTCGTCACCACATCTGTGCCACAGGTGCTCTCCACGTTTCCAGTATCGGATCAATAAGCGCATCGCTTACTCGTGCTGCTTCATTTGATGGTCCCGACACGCCTACTTCCTGCTCATCTGGAACAGCTTCTCCAGCCGCGACACTTTTACGCTTCCGACCACGTTTCTTCCCTGATTCACCTCCGTCTGCCTGCGTCGTTGCCTTTGGCCGGCCGCGCTTTGCTTTACCTACAGCCTTTTTGGCAGCATCTTGCTTAGCACGTTCTGCGCGGTCCGCCCGAATTGCTTCGAGATCTTCCTGTCTCATCACCCGTCCTTCGCCATTCTTCCCAGGCTTCTTCAGAATATCTGACTTTGTGTTTCGGCGAGTCTTAGCCTCGTTATTGGCAGCCTTGAGAAGTCCAATGTAATTCTGGTCAAGGGCTTGTTGGGCAATAGACCTTTTGGCAGCGTTGGCAAGCTTCTGAATCAGTCTATGACGACGAATTTCGTTTTGCTCATCACTATGAGAATCTTGCTTGATGAGGTTCAGCAGTTGTGTCACTGCTTCTGATGACACGGGCGTCACTGGTGTCTGGTTTACTTCATTCTGTGTGCTTCCGACATCGTGGGAGACCCGAATGGTCAGCGGAGCGTCTGGCTTTACGATATCACGAATGACCCTTGAAGGGTTATAAGGAAAGAGGCCGGTCTTTGCCCAGCCAGCAAGTATATTCTTCTTCGTCATCGCCCTTTCTCTCGCACGACTGTATATGGCAGTGAAGTGCTCTTTGTTGACATTCGTCAGGCCTCCGCGGTAGCGGCGCTCGACTTCATCTCGGTACGCCGTTTTCAATGGCCCAAAAACCGACACGTCACAGGGCTGTGTCTTGTGAGACGTGTGAGAGGGCAGTCTACATAGGATAATGTTGTTCTCCAAGCAAAATTCGATGACCTCGAGGGTCTCATGGGTCCCGAAGCCATCGCAGATGAGTATCCGTGGCTTCCCATTAGCACAAGCTTTAGTCTGGGGGTCAAAGACTTGTTTAATCCACTCCAGGCTAATGAAAGAGTCATTGTAACCTGTTTCAGAAAGAGCATAGAACCATCCAGGAGTAGGGTACGTCGTCCAGTTGCTCCTGTGGGTAGATGCAGGCCAGATGATCATCGGATTGAGATACTCACCGCTTGCTGACACGCATTCAATAGCAGTTACCATCGTCCGCTTTGTGCCACTTCCTCTATAGTCCCGTCCATCATCTTTACCTACCAGGACTTTGACAGAGCCAAGCATGGAAAGCATGATGCCTGTCTCATCCATATTATAGGCGTTCTCTGGCAAGACGTCTGGTCTGCAGAGTTCCTCCCTGATCACATCGAACCAATGTACTACCTTATCATATATGCTATTATCATGACGCTCCCACGGCATAGGCCTATTGTTCCTCGATTTGAGCTGTGGGTGGCGGCGACGGAAGGCCTGAGGCCAATTCTTCTTCGGTGGCTCGGAGGGTCGTTTCGTGGCACGTCGGCTAGCGATGCAAAAGGCAAGTGCAGGTATATACTTCACACGTACAGGAGTCCCGACTGCCCCCATCCGTAATATGAAAGCGACAAGAGCTTTCTCCTCGGGTGGGGTGAGGTATTGCTGGCCTTGAGCCTTCTCCTTCATCGAAGGTCGTCCGCGCTTCCGGTAGTAGCGGGTATGGTAGGGAATCTCTTCTTCGGTCTCTACGAGGGAAGTCCGGTCCGCAGGCACATCTATAGGGTCAGTTTGCGCTAGCACTTGACTGGCTGGCTCCATGTTTGCTGTGGTGTTGCGAATGCTGCTGTTCAGGCCAGCACGACGCACAGCGCAGCTCCGCACTCCTCGACCGGAACAACGGAACGCGTTCGTGCTAAAGATAGTACGCACGTGACCAACGTCGATGCTTCGAGAAGCGTGCGCCACACCTCGAGTCCATCAAGCTAGCTCAAGAACAGACGCCGTACGATACGGTATGCCAAGATATTATGTAAGTGCGCTAAACTCAGCGGCCAAGGCGCGAGATAAAGTCTTGTTCACGGAAAAATCCGGAATATGCTTTCTCAAGTTTAAGTATCTGTACAAATCTCGGGTTATGTTCTCCTATAACCAGTCTATTCATTCATCGTCCCGATGTAGGTGACACCTTCAGCTATACTGCTGATGCTGGGGTGCAAAAGTAACGCAGCTTCCAGCGGATGGAAATGCAAGAGCGACAGCACGGCTCAACACTATGTATTTTTTTGCCACAAGCCGTTATCCAACAGGGAAAAGCCTACAGAATAAGCAAGGTCCGTCCCTGGGTGAAGAGACACACTGTGTCGCGAGACAGGTTCACGGTTCGGACGCACGGAGATGCGTCTTTTCGAACTTGCTAAGATATAGCTGACACACGATAGTTCTCTAGCCATTGTTCTCTAGGTCGACTTCCCTCCGAGACGGATCGCTGTGGTGTCAGCTAAGCTATTAGCTATTTCGTCAACGTCGTTAGTCAATTCTTGAGCAACTATCCCCTGTTAATTTATAATGTTGGCTGCTCCTCAAGTATTCAGAGGTTTAAGAATCGAGCGCAATAGAGCAAGATAACATCTCTAGGGTTTAAGAGCTTTTTAACATCAGAGTGTGCATGCTAGGAGCCCTGTTGTGCGAAGCAGGAAATCTCTTGAAATGAGCCTAAGCTAGTGGGATACGCCAACGTCACTTAGCATGCATGAGCCTGCATTAGTGTACTTGTTACGTGCTGTAACTTATAGTAAAGAATACAGCGCTATACCTACTCCGTAGCATCTCAAAATAGATGTAGCGCGCGCTGCTGCCTTTTAAGAAGCATTAACTTAACTTAAGACACACGTCTAAAGTCCTGTTCTCCTACGCGCTATATTCCTTTCTAGGTCAGCTTAACACGCTTATTGCATACTGTCCCTAACTGCTACCGTCGTCTTAAGACCTTCGGTGAAATACATAAACAAAGCTATTCGGGCCTTAACAGAAGATTATCCTCTTAGTGTTGATGCGCACCCGCATCGAGCAGCGTCTTGACTACCTGCTCGTGGCCTCTCCGTGAAGCTACCTGCAGTGCGTTGCCGGAGTATCCACCCTGCGGGTTGACCTCGGCGCCCGCGTCGAGCAGCGTCTTGACTACCTGCTCGTGGCCTCCTTGTGAAGCTGCCTGCAGTGCGTTGCCGTACTCTCCACCCTGCGCGTTGACCTTGGCGCCCGCGTCGAGCAGCGTCTTGACTACCTGCTCGTGGCCTCCTTGTGAAGCTGCCTGCAGTGCGTTGCCGTAGCCTCCACCCTGCGCGTTAACCTCAGCGCCCTGGTCGAGTAGCAGTTTCGTAACAATACTTAAGCCTAACAGTGCGGCGTGGTAAAGCGGCACAGGTATGCTATCAGCACTCTTCTTCAAATCTGGCTCCCTCCAAGGAAGTTCTGGATCATGCAACCGGATCCAGTTGAGATATGCAGGCTTTTCTCTAGCCATTAAACTCGCCGCCAGCTGACTGGCTTGTTCTCCCTCGTCTCCTGTCTTTCGAAGATGGTTGCTCCAGAACTCGGCTGAGTATCTCGCAAGTGCGAACGCCCTAAGACTCTCTTCTTCTAATGGTTGCTGGAGCTGCATTAGATACTTTAAAGAACCTCTCGTTATTGCACTCTGACATTTGGTCTCTTGCATGCTGTACTGCTTTGCTGACCCTTGCCTGATCCTGTCTGACATAAGGTACTCCTGCACTGAGTAATGTGCCAGAGCAACGATCTGTTGAGCAGACCCTGATCCTCTGTCCGCTTCGTTCGTCGTGATAGTGACTAGACTAGAGCAGATGTCCAGCGCTTCTAGTGGGTCTACTAGTATTTCGTTACGGTTAAAAGCTGGGTTCCGCGCCACGTCTATAGCGACGACTTCGGCGATCTCTTCGAGCGACAGTGGCCGCGCAGAGAATGTTAGCCACCGCAAGATGCGCATCGCGTATTTGCAGTCTTTTCTGCTAATTGCGCAGAGAATGCGATCGTATGTTTTGTCCAAAGTTTCTGGCAAAGTGGCGAGTGACTCGCGCAGCATCGCTCGATTGCGACACTCACCTAACGTGTTAAGCTGACATACAGCCCATCGGAACCTTGGCCATTGTTAGCTTTACCTCTGCGGACAATCGGGTAAACACGTACATTCCACGAGCTCCGCGCATTAGTGCAGCCTCAATTTCTTGCCTGATAGCAGCGTCCTTGTTCCATTTTACCAGATTCTTCTTTTCGGACAGCTGTTGTTGAACGTATCGTTGTATGTCCTTGTCCACTACGTCCTGCTGGAGACAGACAGCTTCTTCTTCCCCAACGTAACTCTCTAAGGAGCTCTCAATATCTCGCTCTTTCCGGCTAGTCATGACCAAGTGCAGGTTGTTAAGCTTCCACCCGGCCACTGTCTCAAGCATGTCCATCAGCTCTAAGCGCTGCGAACACTCATCAAGAGCATCGAGAATGACGTAGACGTGCATGAACTCCTGCGCTACCTGCCGCGTCACTTCGAGGAGTGCATGCAGTGAAGGCTGTCGTTTTCCGTTTTCGCAAGATGAGAACAACGCTTCAACATCCTTAGGTATCACGACCGCACGCCGCAAGAGCTGGCAGAGTAACGAGCGTAGCATCAGCTCTGGATCCTGTTTCTGCGTGTCGTTAAAGTCGAAGTAGAAGTACGCCGTCACCATACTAGCGTCACCATCACAGTGCTGCAGCAGGTGCTCGATGACTGTAGAGCTTAGGATAGTCTTTCCACATCCTGGGATCCCATACAGCCACAGTCGTGAAGCTGTACTCTTTTTCCAGTTTGTGAACTTGGTGCTTTCTAACAGCCAGAGCCCAGTCTCAGCCTGCCGCTGCTTGTGTGCTTTGTTGTAGTTCGTAGATGGGTCAGGCGCCGAGAGCCAGCTGCAGATCTTGCCAAGCCTCTCTTCTTGGTCGTGACTGCGGCCCTTGTGCTTCAGAATAACCGCACTTCTGAGCCGGTCGCGCGCGTTTTCTCTGCCTTCGCCGTATATCAGCGGTAGATGAATGCCGAATATGCCGAACAGACAATATGCTCCATCTTCATCGCGTGTCGTCTGGCGATCTTCTGCCCAAGAGAACCGCTCAGCTACGCTAAACTCGGACACTTGCTTCCCTAACAGAGCGTCGCTAGGTATTCCTGTAATCTCATAAATGGTGTCTTTTAGAGACTGCTTGTCCCCTAGCAGCTCTCCCTCTTTCGAAAAGAACTCAACGGAGCGGGGAGCTAGTAATTCCTGGAGCGTCCAGCCTCGGCTGAACCACCTGCTCTTCCTGAACGCTGCCTTCCATCTTCTGCGCAAACTGCCATTCCCTTCTAAGGAGTTGTTCTCGACGTCCGAAAGCAAGACATAGCACTTCTCTGCGTTCTGATACCAGCAGAACATCGAGTTGATCGCTTCTTGAAGCTCTTGGCTGTTCGTCTTGTCGATGCAGCAGGTGTCTACCCAGAAGTAGTCCAGACCATCGCGCTCCGCCTGTTGTGCGCAGAAGCGAATCTTATTCCAGCCAGCTTCTTTCTTTGCACCAACGTCCTCGGTATTGTCTAGGCTCTTCAGATCATCGAAGATCACCTCATGCTCCCCCCAGGTGTGCGAGAGGATCGCATAGGGAGGAATCTCCTCGCTACGAACGAAATCCTCCGTCCATCTCAACTTTCCGTCGCTTGCAGTGGCGGTATGTAGCAGTCGCATCGGGTGGTGTGTGTGTCTGTCTGCGCGAGCGGTAGAAGAGGGCCTCAGGACCTCGAAGCAGGCTGAGGAAATCGATAGCGCACGATGGCTCGCTCGTGCAGGGCGTGGAGGTTGTAGCTGCTAGGCTTCTTACGGGTGCTAAGTAACGGTTTGCTAAAGTAGAGGTGAGGAAGACTGGCCTTCTCATTGTTGGGGCAGGCTGCATCTCCAGCACCCAGGAGAGGAGGCGCAGCCCGCCTGCGCCGTGACGTGAGGCTGGCTGGACAAGGCTGACAGCGCATGATCGCGCGACAGCCACCGTGCTGCAAACCGAGAAGCAGTCGTTGCCTAAAGACGCGATCTAATAGTCTAGAAAGCGCGAGTTATAGATCGTCGTTTACGGTAAGAGGATGTTAGGATGTCTGTGTATCGCGTGCTATTTCGTGCAAGGACACACTGGCCACAGAGAATCTGCCCCACTAACTATCGTAGGGCTCGGAACGCAACGTAGCGACAACAGCGTTGAGAACAACACAGAACATCTTGAGCGAGGCATTAGACTAATACCAACAAGCAGCTCTAACGCGGATAACGAAATGCTATTAATGTGCATCGTGCTAGAAGCTATACTCACGCAGTCTTCGCCTACCTAATCGCAACCTAAAACTTAAGCAGGGAAAAGAGCATTCTCGTGCACAACCGCGCGATCGTAAGCGCTTCTGGAAAACTGTTAACATGCGCCACACCTATTTTAAGAGGGATACAGGACTGGCATAGCGCTGTATTGTTTACTATAAGTTACAACAGGCGATAGGAACGCTAATGCAGGCTCATGCATGCTAAGCGATGTTAGCGTACCCCGCCAGCTCGGGCTCGTTCCCTAAGATCTCCTGCTTCGCACAACGGGGCTGCCGGCATGCTCGCTGTCACATCGGAGCGATCTCACGAGCCTGGGAAGCCAATCTTCCTACGTCGCGCTCTCCGCATGACCCACCGAGCGCTTCAGCAGTCCTAAACGTTACTAATAAACAGGGGGGTATCGCTAACGAGTTAATTAACGACGGCAACGAAACGATCGATAGCACGGCCAACGTAGGAGCGATTTATGTCGGACACTAATGTGCTTAAAGAGCAACAGCTATATAATTACAGTAGACTAGTAGCAGATTTACAAGTTCGCAAATAGGGGGCGCCGAAGCTCCGAATCGCCAACCTGTCTCGCGACATAGTGTGTCTCCTCACCCAGGGACGCACCTCATATGGTGTTACAGCGCGATAGAAGCAATATTGAAACATTGAAAATGTCGAATGTGTAGAATACTTGCGGCACGGCGGGGTTTGCGTGACCCATGGATCCACGTTAACACGGAAGCCTCAATTCATACTGAGTGGGGCGAGATACAGCCCGAAGCAACATGCAAATACCTTGGCTTAACGATGGACGCGAAACTGCACTGGAAGCAACACACCGAGGATATCAGGCGGAAAGCGACAAAGACAGTAAATGCGCTCAGCTGCCTGGGAGGATCCAACTGGGGCGCTAGCCTCCGCGACCTGCGGCGAATATACGAAGGCACAGTGCTCCCGCAGATGATGTATGCATGCTCAGTGTGGTCGAACGCTAGCATGAAAGGAAAACTCTACACTAAGAGGATGCTCAACACACTGCAGAGCATACAAGCAAGAGCAGCCAGGGTCATCAGCGGGGCATACAGAGCTACATCCAGAGCGGCACTAGACGTAGAGACATTTCTCCTTCCCATCGAGCAGCAAATATGGAAGCACAATTCATACACTGTCGTCCGCCTACTCTCAAGCAAGAACATCGCAGCCACCTCAGGATTTCAGACAAACACAGCACAGCCGACAGTCGCAGACAAGACTCGCAGACACACCAGCTCCTGGCAGAAGGTCTACAACGACATAACGAGCATGCGAACTAAAGACTTAGACAGGCAAGAGCAGATCCCGTGCTTCCTCACGCCGCCATGGAGACAGGGTCCAACCACTTACATTGACGCGACCGCCGAAGAAGCACGGGCGCGACACGACAAAGAACACGTAAAGGAAGACAGCCTTAGCATCTACACAGATGGCAGCGGCATTGAAGGCGAGATAGGCTCTGCGGCGCTGTGTCCGCTCACACAACAGGCGCGATCAGTACACATGGGCTCAGACACAGAGTCGACGGTATATGCAGCAGAACTACAAGGCATTAGCCTAGCACTGCAGATCGCTCAAGAGTATGCGAGCCGAAACGGCGCGCGACGAGACGTCGCTATATACACAGACAACCAGGCCGCCGTCTGGTCCATCGCTAAGGCGGAGGGACGGTCAGGCGCCTACATTCTCGCGGACATCGCGCGACAGGTCCGGGAGCTCCAGGACAACGGACGGACAGTGACCGTCCGATGGATACCGGCCCACGTTGGCATACCCGGGAACGAGGCCGTCGACAAAGCGGCCAAGGAAGCCACCGGATGGAGAGAAGACGGCCGCAGAAGCTTGCCGGCAGACGCGCCTCCCCAGCTGTTCACTATAAGGTCGACTGTGAAAAGATGGTGCAGCATACAAGCCGAACGGGCATGGATAGCAAAGTGGCGCAAGGACACCAAGGGCCGAGCAACCTACAGACACACTCCAACGCCCACCAAGAAAGTACTCCGGCTCCACGAGGGGCTCACTAAGCGGGAGAGCGCGCTGCTGGTGCAGCTGCGGACAGAGAAGATCGGACTTAACGACTTTCTCTTCGCCCGAAGAGTGCCAGACGTCACCAGCCCGCGCTGCGACTGCGGAGCAAGACGACAGACCGTCGCACATATCCTTCTCCACTGCAGCAAGCACAGGCATCTCCGGGACCGTATCTTCGCCAACCTGTCCGGACGAGACAACATCCGGACCATCCTAGGCACGCCACAGCTAGCCACCAAAGCCATCGAGTATGTAGAGCAAACGCAGATCCTTGGGCAAAATGGGGATCGCAGGCGCGAAGACGAAAGCCGAGCGCTGGGGGGAGACTGAAGGTATTGCAGACGCAAAATACGAGGCAACCGTGCCTCTACGAGCCTAGAAGTACAGTGTTCAGTTAGTAGAGTGATTATCTAGATGAGGTTGGCAGCCACGTGTAGATAGTGATGAGAGGGAAACGGCAGGCCTCTGGTTTGGTTGGTTTGGTTTGGTTTCATTCCTACACGGTTGCAGCCGCGTACTGCGCAGCTATGCCCGGAGTGGCAGGTGTGGCAGACAGCGGACGCGGTGCGGACGTTGATCCGCGCCGCCTCACTTCATCCCTCGCGAGACCAGCTGCCCCCGAGAACCTGCCGTTTTCCCTCAACCACTATCTACATATGCTTGTCCGGCCCATCTAGATACTGGTTCTACTGACTGTATGCTGTGTTTCTAGGCTCATAGAGGCGTTCTGCCTCGTCTGTCGCGTCCACTGTACCTACAGTCTCCCCCCAACGCTTGGCGTCGTCTACGTGTCTCTGATCCCCACATGCCCAAGGATCTGCGTCTGCTCCATATACTCGATGGCTTTGGTGGCTAGCTGCGGCGTGCTCAGGATTGTCCTGAGGCTGTTCCGTCCGGATAGGTTGGCGAAGATGCGGTTCCGGAGGTCCTTGTACTTGCTGCAGCGGAGGAGGACGTGGGCCACGGTCTGCCGCCTCTCTCCGCAGTCGCATCCGGGGCTTGGGATGTCTGGGACGTGCCGCTTGAAGAGGAAGTCGTTGAGACAGATCTTCTCGGTTCGCAGCTGCACTAGCAGCGCGCTCTCCCTCTTGCTAAGCCTCTCGTGGAGCTGCAGCACCTTCTTGGTAGGCGTCGGCGTGTGTCTGTATGTCGTGCGGCCTTTCTTGTCCTCCCTCCATGCGCTTATCCATTGTCGCTCTGCTTGAGTCTTGCACCATCTTCTGAGCGTTGTCCTGAGTGGGTATAGCTGCGGAGGCGGCTCTGCTGGCTGCTGACTGCGGCCGTCCTCCCTCCATCCGGTGGCTTCCTTGGCAGCCTGGTCGGCGGCTTCGTTTCCCTCGATGCCCACATGGGCGGGTATCCAGCGGACGGTCACCGACAATCCCTTGTTCTGGAGTTCCTGGACCTGTTGCGCGATGTCCGCAAGGATGTATGCGCCTGATCGTCCCTCTGCCTTGGCTATAGACCATATGGCGGCCTGGTTGTCTGTATATACGGCTATGTCTTTGCGCTCGCCATCTCCATCTACATACTCCTTTGCGATGTGCAGTGCTAAGCTGATGCCCTGCAGCTCTGCTGCATACACTGTTGACAGTGTGTCTGATCCCATGTGTACAGATCGTGTTTGTTTCGTGAGCGGGCACACCGGGCAGGCCTCTGGGGACAGATGGTTCTTTGGAATGAAGTGGGGCGGCGCGGACCAACGTCCGCACCGCGTCGGCTGTCTGCCAAGCCTGTCAGCCGGGCATAGCTGCTTTTCGCGGCTGCAACCGTGTAGGATCTAATCAATCAATCAATCAAGCATCTAGAAACACTTGCATAGTTCTGTTCACCTGTGCACTATGTGTTTCCCTAGGCTGAGTTAACTTGCTTGCTGCATACTGTCCCTGACTGCCACTATCGTCCCAACACAACTAATAGGACACATGAACAAGGTTATCCTCCTAGTGTTAATGTGCACCTGCGTCGAGCAGCATCTTGACTACCTGCTCGTGGCCTCTCCATGAAGCTGCCTGCAGTGCGTTGCTGTAGTCTCCACCCTGCGCGTTAACATCGGCGCCCTTATCGAGCAGCATCTTGACTACCTGCTTGTGACCTCCAGCTGAAGCTGCCTGCAGTGCGTTGCTGTAGTCTCCACCCTGCGCGTTAACATCGGCGCCCGCATCGAGCAGCGTCTTGACTACCTGCTCGTGGCCTCTCCATGAAGCTGCCCGCAGTGCATTACCATACTCTCTATCCTGCGCGTTAACCTCGGCGCCCTTATCGAGCAGCATCTTGACTACCTGCTTGTGACCTCCAGCTGAAGCTGCCTGCAGTGCGTTGCCGTACTC